TCAGAACTAAGATAACAATCTTCATCAACAAATTCAATTGCAGTTGTATATGATGCATAGAAATCTCTACTAACTTCAGTTAAACAATTTTTATTATTTCCATTATTATCAAATGAATAAACACTAATACTTTTCATAAGATCTCCAACAAGTATTTTATTTCCCAGAGTTTTAACATATAATCCAATTAACTTTACATTACAACTTCCTTTCTCTTGTAATTTAACTTCAAACTCTCCATTTGTTATAACTCTTTGATATTCAAATACAACTAATTTCTTTTCTATAGACATAGCTAAATACTTTTTGAGTAGAGTTTTCATTGAATAAACAGCTCCATTAACATCTTTCTCAAATATAATTTCAAGCCTTCCATCTTTTATTTGAACAATAAGAATTCTTCCACTACTTGGTTCTACTTCATTTGGTTTTGCAAAAGCTGTTCCAATAACAAACATTTCATTTTCATCAATTACAATTTGTTCAATAGATAAAGCATGTTCATTTTCTTTTAGTTCATGACTATCTTCAATCTCCATTTTTCTAAAATCAATTAATTTAACAGAATGTGTTTCAACTCTTTTTTCTTTTAATTCTTTAATTTCACTACTCAATAATAATGCCTTATTTTCTTGTTTTGAAACAACTATTCGACTAACAAATACTCCAATAGATAAACTTTTTGTATGAATTGATTGAATTTCATCAATATTACCAATAATGATATTTTCTTTTGTTGCAACAACTAAACTATTCATGCACTCTTTCATTTTAAATGGAACAATTGAAACTATTTCACTACAATTAACTGATAATGTTTTTATTTTTCCTTTACAAATAGAAACTAATGTTGGACGATCACATAAACACATAATATATTTCATTCCATTAATTTCTAATGTTTTTAATTCAATACCTGATAATCCAATATCAAGTACTTTATAATTCTTTGGTATTTCTCCTTCTATTTCCATTAATTCTTCCATTTGATATACTAATACTCTTCCATCTCCCATTCCAATCACAACATACATTCCTTCTTGATTATTAATGATTTCAATTGATTTTCCATAAATATTTCCATTAATTTCTCTGATATGGTTTTTATTTCCATTCTCCATGTTGATTATTTCCATTGTATTAGAATCCCAATAACATATTCCAATAACATCTTCTGTTCCTTCCTTTCCAATAGTAAATGCTGAAATGTCATTTTCACCAGAATAAACTTGTTTAATTTCTTTATTCTCATTTAATACATTAATTTCATTTGACTGACTGATATATAATTTTTCATCATAAATACATGAATGAGAAATAAATTTATTGAATCTAATTTGTTGAATAAATTCAAGTTGTTCTGAATCAAAAATATTAATCTCTTCTCTTGTAACCTGAACAAAACAACTTTCCTTCATTTCTCCAATTTCAATAATTCCACTACAAATTGTTTCTTCTTTTCTATTAAATCCTTTAATTTCTATTTCATTAAATCGTAGTTGATTAACTTCTTGTTGAGACTCAAATACTTTACTACCATCACCATAACTGATAATTAAATATTCTTTATGTCCCATTTCTGCTTGATACAGGTGTGTAATTCCTTTCATTTCATTTTGACAAATAATATCAATACCCACACCTGAACTTATCAATTTAAGAGTTCCTTGTTGATAAGTATTACAACACATTAACAAATTATCTTTATTAGTTATTTCATCATGTATAGCAGTCATATCTAATATTGGTCCTCTATTTTCAAATGTTTCTAATATTTCACATCCTTTCTCATTAATTTTGATTAAATGTGAATCTCCACCTTTAGATCCCCAGAATAATACTGAATTATCAAGATATAATACAGTACTTGGAATAGTTAATGCTTGATATTCTAAAGGATAATAGTATAATTCTATTTCATGATTATTATTTTCCTTTAATGTTATTAAATGCATTTTACCTTGGTTGTCTGATAATAATAATCTATGTTCATCAAGAAAACAATACGTTTCAAGATGAATTGGTCTCATTGAAACACTAGAGATTTGACTTGAATTTGGAACAAAACTTACTATTTGTGAATTTATTTTGAAATATCCCTCATTTCCCAAATAAGGAATGAATAAATCAATAGTTGATGTATCTTCTATTTGTTTGTTATAAAGACTTAATGTCTTAGAATCAATATTAAATTCATAGAATGTAATGACTTTAACGTCATTCTTTATTTCATGGTGAATTGCAATAACTTGTTTTTGATCCAACTGAAGACAATACAACCCAACAACCCTTTGTTCATCTATACGTAGATTGAATGGTGCTTCTGGTAAGTTTTCTTCTTCTCTAGGAAGAGGTACTATTTTAATTAAATGATTATATAAATGAAGTAGTAAATAACTATTCCCAATAACAACCCCACTAATTCCATAAAAAGCTGTTCTTCCTAAACGATCTTCAATATTATTTGAATACACTAAACTTAATTCTTTGTTATCATTTAATTGTGCAATGATAAGCTGTTGATTATTAGTTACAAATATCAAATAATCTTTTGAATTTTTTCCTTTTGACTGATACTTACTAACAAATGAAACACTATAAGGAAACTGTTTTGTGTAAATTAAATCAAGACCAGTTGTTGTTAATTGATATACATCAACTATAGTATTTTTTACTATAACCAGATATTGTTCATCTGGTTGATTGAGTTTGGCAACTAACGCATGAGTAATAGAAGTAGATGGTGCTACTGTTGTTAAATAGAATTTACGATCAACCATTTCTACAAATTGAAAAGTAATTATCAAGATTCAATCATCTTCTTTACAAAAAGTCACAAAAAAAGGAAGAAAATAAAATACAAAGATATAACATTATTTATTACTTTAAGTATAATTTGTTTTTTATTATCTTTACTTTAAAAACAAAACTATACAACAACTATTAATAAACAATAAAATCTCTCATCTTATCTTAAATAAACAAGACAACTACTTAAATAATAAGTTTAATAACAATTTATACCTACTTAACTAAAACAAAGTAACTTCTTTATCATTACATTTGATCTAAGCTATATTGTTAATAACTCTTTCTTATTTTACATTATTACTAACTTTAACTTTCCTTTTGTTGAGTTAAACCCACAAAACCTTCATTTCATTATTGTTAATGTATTGACACCTTTCTTAACCAATAACATAACTAAATTCTATGACTTATTTAAACACTTTGATTTATTATTTTTACACACCCTTCCTATAGTAAGTATTTCTTATGTTATAAATAACTAACACACACATTCCTCTCTGAACAAACATAACTATCATTAACGTGTTTATTTTTGTAACAACTGAGTGATAGTTGTCTTTCCTCATTTATTATCTTCTTGTCATTGATTGCTCTTTATAAACTAAATTCCTTTTGTTTAGTTTTAAGTATATTAAATTATTTCTACTTTACGGAAGAAGTTTTCCATTGAGTCTCAATGAATGTTATAGTATTAGTTATATATTCCCTAACTCTTCATATCATACTTGCAGTAGTTGTGTTTAATTGATATCCTTGAAGAAGAGTTAAAAAAATTACATAATCATTGCATCTCTAATTGATGATATTTCTTATTGTAAACATGTCCAATTATATGCTCTATATCCTTCAAGATTAAATCACTCAATTATTCTGAAAAAATGTTATTATTCCAGTGTTATAAAACTGACAGTTCTTACTATTTGTTTGTTTCGCAGAAAGAAAACCAATTTTAAGACATAAAAACTGAGAATAACCCTTTCTCAAAGGAAAAAGGAGTCTTAAATTAAATAAACGTAACAATTTAAGAAAAAATTTTATACTTATGAAACAATTTTTATCAGAAAGAAGTAATTGTAAATGCTATTTAGTTGTAGGCAGTGAGAGAGAGAAAAGAATGGTAAGGAGAAATTAAAAGTTAAACAATACCACTCATTGACATAACACATTTATTATTTCTTTGATGGTATAATTTCAATAAGATTCTTCATTAAATATCAACACTTCAACACTTAAGTAATTATGAAACTGATATGTAGTTTTAAGTAACAAGATATAGATTTTTGATATTTGATGAAATGACTAAACTTAATCTAAAAAACTATAAAAAAAAATTTTTGAAACAAGATTTAATAACAAAATTAAATATAAATTTATGTTATTTATTAATTGTTATAAATAATTTTATAATATACCAAAAAAACTTATAAATTAATTATTTATAAAGAAAAGAAATCAATTATGATTAACCTTATTTTTTAGGTTTTTCATCATGTTGAGAAGTGAGCGAATCAGTTTCTTCAACACGCTTTATTTCTATTCAAATAAAGTTTTTGCAAGCATACTCGACTTAAATGGTTCCTCAGTTAAGTTGCTGCCTGACTTTTATTTTGATTTTAATGAGTAATATAATATTTCTCATTCTTTATATTGTTGTTTTAAGGAGAGTATATCCATAACTTACTGTTATAGCTCATCTCCTTTTACCTTCGACACCCCTTAAAGAAACCCTATTCCTTGATAATATCATTATGTTTAATTTTTGTGCAACAATATCAATTAAATATGCGTCTTCTTTAATAAATGATAATTCTTAATAAATAATACCTCCTTAGTTAATAATAATTCTTAGTTAATAATAATTCTTAATAAACAATAATCCTTATGAATAATAATATTACATAATAACCACTCATAATAAATATTAATAATTATAAACAGTTAGTTTTGAACAGATATTATCTCACCAAAGGCACGTCATGACCAGACGATAACTGGGAGATTCGAAGCGTGTGAATATTTTAGGGTTTCATGTGGTGTCTCTGACGTGCCATCTTCGAATCCTAAATTAATTATTTATAAAAATAAATTATGAAAAAAGCAATAAAATACGTTGTTTTTGAAACACGTACAACCACGTTTTAACCCTACAGCCAATTCTAAAAAAAATAAAAAGGATTAAACAACATAACATGACTCTTAAACCAATTGAAGCAAGTGAAATTATTAAAGAAATCCCACAAGGATGTGAAGAGTCAGAAATGCCAGCAGCTGCAAATACTGAAATTTTTGAGACTAAAGCAGAAGAAAAATTATTAACTAAAGAAATAAAAGACATCAGAGATAAAAAACAAATTAAGTCAAAAATTAATGAAGTCACTAAACCAAAGAAAAATGAACCTCAAATTACAAAGGCTTTAGTCAAAAAAATTTACAGTCAACTTAAACTTGTTCCTCCTGAAAATGGAAAATATGTCTCAAATGAAGAGTCTGTTCTTGACAGAATGAATGACCTCAGAGAAACCATATTGGCTTCATTGATTAAATTTTCCAAAGTAGAACAAGATGAGGGTTTAAAAAAAGTTTTTGAGGATTCAAGTAAAGTAATAGAAGATAAAATTTCTCAAATTGAAATTAGTCAAGTCAAATTACTTATTAATAAGTTTAGTCAAAACCAAAATATCTCTGAAGGAGATTCTTTCACTCATTCTTTTGCTTTACAACAAGAAGACCTTGAAAAGAAAGAAGAAAATAATGAGGTTAAGAGTCAAGATAAAAAAGATCATAAAAAACATGAGAAAAAAGACCATAAAAAAGAAGAGAAAAAACCGAAATCATCAGCGGTTCATTCAAAAGAAGAAACAAAAGATAATAACACTAAGGAAAATAAATCCAAAGAAGTTAAAGCAAATATTGATGAGGAATTTGCTCGTCGTTTGACTGTACGAAAAGTAAGTACTGGTTTTAGTGAAGAAAAGAAAGAAACTAAAGATGAAAAGAAACTATGGCTTCCACCACGTAAGAGAATAAGTACTTATATAACTGAAGACCAGAAAAAGGAAAAATTAGAAGATAAAAAATCAGAGATTAATGACAACAAAACGACAAAAGAAGACATAGGTGTTGGTCTAATTAGTAATCCCAAAGATAAAAATGAACATGAGTTATTTACCAGTCGTTTGAGTCTACGAAAAGTTGCCGACAACATCGTAGAAGAAAAGAAAGTAGAAGCAACCAAAGACATTGACCCTAAGGAAAAGAAGTCTAAAGAAATTGATGGAACTACACTTGATGAATTTGCTCGTCGTTTGACTGTAAGAAAAGTGGGTAATAGTGTTAGTGAAGAAAAGAAACCAAAGCCTCCAACAAATGAGGAAACAAAAGCTGAAGAAAAAGTTAAAGAAGTCAAAAAAGTAAAAGAAGAAAAGAAAGGAGAAGCTAAGGAAGAAAAGAAAGAGAAAAAGGAAAAGAAAGAGAAAAAGGAAAAGAAAGAGAAAAAGGAAAAGAAACCAAAGTCCACATCAACTGAAGAATCAGAAACTGAACCTGTTAAAGAAAAGAAAGAAGCTAAGAAAGAGAAAAAGGAAAAGAAAGAAGAAAAAGAAAAGAAAGAAGAAAAAGAAAAGAAAGAAGAAAAAGAAAAGAAAGAAGCTAAGAAAGAGAAAAAGGAAAAGAAAAAGGAAAAGAAAGAGAAAGAAGAAAAGGAACCAAAGTCCACATCAACTGAAGAATCAGAAACTGAACCTGTTAAAGAAAAGAAAGAAGCTAAGAAAGAGAAAAAGGAAAAGAAAGAAGCTAAGAAAGAGAAAAAGGAAAAGAAAGAAGAAAAAGAAAAGAAGCCAAAACCAGCAATATCCAAAGAGGAAAATGCTGAGGTTGTTAAAGAAAAAAAGGAACACAAGAGACATGATAAAGAACATAAAAAACATGATAAAGGGTCGAAGAAAGAACACACTAAAAAGCACAAGAAACATGAGAAAAAAGTAAATGAAAAACCAGAACATAAGGAAGTGAAATAACCAAAGTTATCAATAATTCAATGATAAGAAGTGCAAGAATAACAAAAGTAATTAATTAAGTATTATTAGGGTTTGTTTCTTTATTCTTTTAGTTTAGTTTCATCTAATCTCTTTCTAAGTGTTATTATTATGATAAAATACAATACTTTCTTATATTTTTTGTTAGTACGCTTTTTACATTTTTAATATTGTCACTTTTATTTCTTTAATTCATCTAATACTTGAGATGTTTATTATTCCATGTATTTTAACATTTCTCATTTCTCCATTATCTTTTTCCATTCTTTATTTCTTTATATTCATTTATTTTATTCATTTATTTTCATTATTATTGTGATATTCAACATTATTCAAATCATTTATGAGACTTAGTTTTTACTTTTTGTTTGTTACTTATATTTTATCATTGTCTTTTCGTTTATTACTTTTATATTGTATCAAGAATATTTCAAGTTACTTATTCTCATTATACTTAAATTTAATTCATTTAATGTTATTATGACACTATCATAATTGATATATCTTTCATTCCACGAGATGATTTGTTTTATTTTCAAATTCTCTTTATTTAATATCACCTGTGTTTCATATAACGATTTCATTTATTCTAAAGTAATATCGTTATTTGAGTATATTTCATTCTTTCTTCCTTATTCTAATTTTCTTGTTAGAATCAAACATGATTTTATTTGTATTGATTCTGACTATTTCATTTTTATTAAATTTAATTCTTTCTTTTATCATTGTCATCATATATTTTAGGTACTTTATTCTTTCTAGTGCTTTAACTTTAATTCCTTCTTCATCATTTTCTTTTAATTTCATGATGAACTTTATTCTGTACAATTCCCTTGACCAAATCTTCTAGTCTATTGATTTTCTTTAGGATTTCTTTTATTTCATCAATTTTATCTCTTATTATTTTATTTTGGAGATAAAGGTGCATAACCATTGAAATATTCTTCATATCATCTTGCAGATCCTGTATTCTGCTTCCTGACCATTCCCATCTATTATTATTTCCTCTTATTAATCGGTCAGCTTCTTTTCTTTGAAAGTAGTAATTAATGTTAGTACATTTTTCTACTTTCATTTCTTTCACTTTATTGATGAGAGTGTTAAAGTATTCTTCATCAATTTCTGTAGAGTTATTCTTTAATATGATGTTTTTTATTATTGAATCACACTCTACTCTTCATTCTATTATATCATTTACTTTCACTTTAATGTACTGTTTAGTATTTTGTTTTATTTTATGTGATATTTTAATATATTTAATATATTCTTTTTCATTATTGACATTGATGTTTATTGCTTTTATTATATTTTCTATTTGTTCCCATCTTAATTTCTTATATAATTTCTTATTCAACCAATTAATTGCAAAACAATACAATACTTCAATTAAAATTCTATTTCTTTCTTTTGTTGTATTTGTTGTATTTTCATTATACTTTGTTTGTTATTTATTATTCTTGCAATTTTACATCTTCATTCATTTCTTTATTTGGATTTTGTTTTTAACTTCTTCTTCATTTGTTTTAATGTCTTTTTCTTCAATTTCTTTTGTTTTCTTTATTTTCTTCTTTGATTCTTTCATTTATCTTTTTCTTTTTGATTGAATATACTTCTTGAAGAATATCATACCATCTTTTTCTTTTACCTTCTTACTTTTTGAGTATTTCTGAATATTCTCCTTTATTCCATTCACTTTTTATTCTTTTTATTCTTTCTTGTATCTCATTTATTGTTGTTCATTTATATTTGTTATTTGTATAATCTTTATTATTATTATATTTATCTTGTTTTTTATTTGTGTCTCTTTGTGTCTTTCGTCTTCTAAACCATTTTCCTTGATATTTCATTTATTATTATTATTTCTATTATTATGTCAATTATTGTTATTGACATTCATTCTTTTTTTATTGTATGACATTGGATTTCTATGTTTTATTTGTTTTTATTTACTATACCCAAAGGTTTTAAACAACAGCAATTGCATTAAAATTTTGATGTATTTCCTGCATTGGAAAATGAACTATTAAAAATGAATATGAAATAATGAAATAAAATAATGAAGACAATGAATTGATAATGAATTAGAATAATCCAACACTGAACAAATAGAATAAAGAATAAATTGAATATATTATTAATGGTGCACTGTTATTATTATTTGTTATTTTAATTATTAAAATAATGATTATTTCTTCTATTATGTTATTTAATGTAATTTTATCATTTTATTTGTTTTTCATTCATTTAATTTCGTTTATTTATTGTGTATTTATAATAATTATTTCATTTCTTTTCTCTTTTATTTCTTATTCTTATTTTATTATCTTATTTTTGTTTATCATTTATTATCTTTATTAAATTAATTTGTTAGAATTGATGTTGATAAAACATGAAAATTCAAATAACAAAAGATGAAATAAAAATAAAACAAAATTGAATTTTCTTTTCTATATTTTTTTTTTTATTTATTAACAAAAAAATGAAAAAATACTAAAAATAAAATAAACTAATTATAGAAAATAACAATATTATAATTTTATTATTATTATATTATTAATATTATTATATATTTATTGTTATTGTAAAAATGATAAAAATAACATTTATTTAAAATAAAATGATGATAAAATTAATAATTGACTTTATGTTAATAACGTGTATTAATTATTTAAATATTCATATTTTGAACTTATAAACATCAATTTAAATTAAAATGAATATGATGTATATTAAACAAATAGAAGAATGGACAGAAAAAAGAATAAATAATATACTATTTGATTCAGACATTGATGATTGGAATAAAAATACATCAGTATTTAAACAACGAATATGGAATAAAGAACATATAATAATTATTATTGAAGATGAAGAAGGAAATAAATTTGGAGGATATGTTAATGAGAAAATTGATAAAATTTATAGTTGTATATATGATTCAAATTCATTTGTATTTTCATGGGAATCAAAAGGAAGAATGAAAGGAATGATGAAATTTGATATTAAACGACATCAAAATGCATTTTATTTATTGATTCAATCAAATAATGATTTGTTTGGATTTGGAATTGGATATGATATTCTTGTTTATAAAGAAGATAATAAAACAGAATCATTTTGTGAACAAAATTCTTTTGATTATAATGGAATATCAAATGCACTTTGTGGAAAAGAACATCAATATCGTTTTTTAAAACAAAACGAATCATAGTAATTGAAATGAAATGATTCAATCTTTATTAATTGAAAATGAACTAAACAAGAATAAAAACAAATTAATGAAGAATAT